TTTATGGCTGTTTATTTGAGAGAGGGAAAGAGAGAGAGCAGGGGGAAGACAGAGAGAGAGGGAGACAGAATCCCAAGCAAGCTGTCGCTGTTAGCCCAGAGCCCATGGAGGTTGAGGGGGACTGGAACTCATCAACCATGAGGTCATTTCCTGAGCCGAAATCAAGAGTCGATGCTCAACTGACTGAGCCACCCAGGCATCCCAGTGTAAGTTTTGATATATGTATACAAACGTCCATCAGTGCAATCAAGATTGTGTTATAAATCACTCTCAAAAGCCTTCCTCCTAACCCTTTATAATACCTAGAATTCCTTCCTTCCCATTCCCTCTCACCTCCCCATACTGTGCCTGGGTTGTCACTGATTGAGCTTTTTCTCCGATGTAATTGGTACTTGGGGATGGGGTGGAGCTTGGAGCCTGAGATGAAATAGAGTTGAAAGTCACAAATAGTCTTGTAGATCTTGAATATGAGGTGGGATATCATTAAAGAAATCCATGAAAGACTATGGAAAGCTCTAAGTTTTTAAAAGCTCACACTAACTGCCTTTTGGAGGATTTAGGGCTGGGGCTAACAGATGAACAGCAAGAGTGGATATGGACAAGTTTAAAATAGCGAAATTGAAGGGCACTTGGGTGGCTCAGTCGGTTAAGCATCCACCGTTGGCTCCTGTCACGATGTCACGGTTTGTGGGTTTGAGCCCCGCATCAGGCTCTCTGCTGTCAGCACAGAGCCTATTAGGGATCCTCTCTCCCTCTCCCTCTGTGCCCCTCCCATGCACATGCTTACTCTCTCTCAAAAATAAACAGTTAAAAAAGAATTAGGTAGATTGAATTGAGGGGAGCATAATGAGGAAGACTGGGGTAAGGTGTCCTATAAGCTCAGAGGCAGTCAAGTTAAAAGATACCTATAAAAACATTTTGTAATTTGTAAGTTGTTGCATAAATGTAAGGTGATGATGCTCTTTGCATTTTGGGGGAAATTCAGTTTCTGCATCTTGTATGGAAACTCCAGGAGCTTTCAGAGTTGGCTTGACTTACAGTTTGCCAGTGACCACAGGGAGTTTGATTTGGTGCTCTTGTTACTTAATGGCTGTATATGCAATGTTGATTCTCCCATAATTTGTGCATTATGCCATCATAAATCATGAACAGAGTGAAGTGTGTTACCTTTCGTTTGTTCATGTTTTGTAGAGATACCTTTTGACCTGGTTTTCCAAGGATTTGCCCTTCTTTTTTTAAAAGTATAAATTTTTGCTTTTGTGTATGTATTTCTGTCAGCTTTCCAGGTAAAATATGGCTAAAAGCTTACGGAGTAAGTGGAAAAGGAAGATGCGTGCCGAAAAGAGAAAAAAGAATGCCCCAAAGGAACTCAGCAGACTTAAAAGTATTCTTAAAATAGATAGTGATGTTTTAATGAAAGATGTTCAAGAGATAGCAACTGTGGTGGCACCTAAACATTGTCCAGAGAAAACTGAATGTGTGGTACAAGATGAAAAAGGTGAGTTTAAGTGCTTTGTTTAAAAAATAATAATAGGGACGCATGGGTGGCTCACTAGGCTAAGTGTCTGACTTCGGCTCAGGTCATGATCTTACGGTTTGTGAGTTCGAGCCCTGCATCGGGCTGTGCACTGACATGCAGAGCCTGCTTGGGATTGTCTCTCTCTCTCTCTGTCTCTCTGTGTCTCTGTGTTTCTCTCTCTCTCAAAATAAATAAACAAAAATTAATAATAATTCTATCAGTTTCCTCTTGTGACTCTTTTTCCCTTTTTGACTGTCCTCCACTCTTTCCTGCACATGCTTCCCTACAAACCTCCTGCCATGTCCATTTGATTCTTTGAAGGCTTATAGTGCTGCTAGAGATTCTATGCTAAACTATTTTAAAGGCACTTCATGTGAATAGGCATGTTTTGGATTATTCAGGGTATTCAGGCTTATACAATAGCCTAAGTGTGTCAGAAATACAGCATAACAGGAGTTGACGAACAACGTAGACCCATCCTTGTTGGAAGAGTGTATCATTCAGTCAGGGACTAGGCAAGATAGCAGATCGTTTTCCGTTTTATCCTTTGTAAGATCTAGTTCCCAGAGAATCGTTATATGCCGTTATATTATTTTCCTAAAACAAATCAAAGTTTCCTGTATTTGATTTTGACAGATTCTAGGTACCTGTCTTAATCACAGTCTAAAGTTAGAGGCTGTGTATATTACTAGCTTCAGCACAGGAAAGGACTCCTTGGTTTTCGCATCCTCATATAACAGTTTGGCAGCAAACTGAAATAAGCACTCATAATACTCAGGCTCTTAAAATAGAAGTGTATTTATGTGGTGTCCAGTGGTCGAGGAAGAGAGCAGTGATCCTCAGCCTTCCAGTCCTAGAAGTTTTCCCTCTTGCTAATATTACTCTCTCAAAGGCCCGTATCTCCGCTTGTGTTCTGAATCCTCTCCATTCTCAAGGGCTATACGCCTGCATCCTGCTTATCAGTCTGTCTTCTTCACCGGGTCATTCCAACAGCATAAATATGTTCTAGGAAACAAAGAAAAATCCTTCCCTTGATCTCCCGTTTCTCTCAATCTGCTGTTTTATTTCAGCTCTCCTTGAAACTTCTTAACACTTGCTGTCTCTTTTTCCTCGTATGTACTGCCTCTGCCCATTTGCTCTTTTTTTGTCTTTAAGGTACAATTCACATAACATAAAATTAACTACCTTAAAGTGTGGAATTCATTATCATTTAGTACGTTGGTGACGTTGTCCAACATCACCTCTTTTTCCAAAACATTTTCATCACCGTAAAAGGAAACTTTATACGCATAAAACAGTCTCCCTCTTCTTCCCTTCACTGAGTCTCTGGCAACCACTGATGTGTTTTCTGTATCTATGGATTACCTCTTCTGGATATTTCATATAATTGAAATCCTGTAACATATGACCTTTTGTGTCTGACTTCTTTCACTGAGCTTAATGTTTTTGAGGTCCATCCATGTTGTAGCATGTATCAGTACTTCCTTTTCAAGGCTGAAGAATACACCGTTTTATGTACATACCACACATTGTTTATCCATTCGTTGGTTGGTGGGCATTTTGGGTTGCTTTCTTTCACCTTCTGGCCGTTGTGAATAGTGCTGCTGTGAACGTTCGTGTACACATTTTTGTTTGAATACATGTTTTCATTTCTTTTGGATTTGTACTTATGGATGGAGTTGGCTGGGTCGGTTGATAATTCTCTTTACTGTTTTCTGTATCAGGCAGCCATTTCCCCCTTTTTCCTTCTCTTTTTAGAATTGCCTCATCCTACTGGGTGTGAAGTGGTGTCGCATTGAGGTTTTGATTTGCATCTCTTCAGTCATTTAACGCTGTTGAACATGTTTTCATATGCTTGTTGGCCATTTGCATATCATCTTTGCAGAAGGATCTTTTCAAGTCCTTTGCTCATTTTTGTTTTCACACTGGCAAGCCGGTAAGGGATAGAGGGAGAGGGAGGAGAATCTTAAGCAGGCTTCATGCTGGGGCTGATGTCTCATGACCCTGAGATCATGACCTGAGCTGAAATCAACAGTCAGGACGCTTTCAAATTGGATTGTCCTTTTGTTGAATTGTAAGTGTTCCTTATATGTTTTGGATGGTAGATGCCTATTTGCTTTTTGAGTGTTTGCTTTTGAGTCTGTTTAATGTATTCTGTAGTTTTCTCTCCTGTTTTCTATTTTCTCTTAATACTTTCTGATTTTCATAACTTTATTGTTTATTTCTTATTTTGAGTTGTTTAGTTTTGCTATTATATTTTTAATTTCTGAGTTCTTTTTTCTCTTTTACTCTTTCTTTGTTATAGCCTGAGGTTCTTAATGGATATATGTTCTCTAATCTCACTGAGGATTTTCATTATAGTTTGAAAATTTTTGATCTACTCTGCCTTGTCTATTTTCTTGAATTCTTTTTTCCCTCCACCCCCTGCATTCCTTTATTTTTCGTCTTTCTCTTTCACAATGAAGGCTTTCTCCAAAGCCTAGTAATGAATGGTTGTTTATATTTAAAAGTAAAGCACTAAAATGATGAATGGATGCTGGCAGGGGAGGTGGGGACAAGGTGTGGGGGAGGACTTATCAACTGTTAGACTTGGAGTATGATTGGGTTGAACCTAGAAGGTTCTGTTGTGGAGGATGTATGTCAGAACCTAGGTCTTTTCTCGCATCATTCTTAGAGAGGGATCCTCTCATCTGCCTGCAGCAGTGTCCAGCTACCCTCCTTGGAATATTTCAGGAACTAAACGGGGATAGAACTGAGAGTGGGGGAGTCTTTCCATTTAGTAATCTGCCTGGTTGCAGTGTGGTTGCTCATCTCTGCCCTCAGGTTTGTGTTTCCCCTTACTTTGTTTCCTTCAACTTAAGCCACAAACCTAATAGTCACCTTGATCCCTTTTTCCTTTATTTCTCACCTCTAAAACATTAGCGCATCTTGAATATCTCCAAAATACAGCAGGAATCTATATCCATTTTCCTCCTCCTTTCATGTTATCACTTTAAAATGACTATTGTTTCTTGCCTGAACCAAGATGGTAGCCTGTTTTACTTCTCTCTTCAGCATTTGCTCCCTTTTGATACTTTTTTTTTTTCTTTCCAATTTGAGAGAGGAGAGCACATGCAAGGGAGGACAGGCAGAGGGAGAGAGAGAATCTTAGGGAGGATCCACGTTCATTGTGGATACCGATGTGGCACTGGATCCCAGGACCCTGGGATCAGGATCTGAGCCAAAATCAAGAGCCAGATGCTCAACTGACTGAGCCACCCAGACACTACCTTTTGATTCATTTTTGACATATCAAACAGTATGATTGATTGATTGATTTATTAAATGTTTATTTTTTTTGAGATGGAGAGAGAGGCACACACACAGAGTGCAAGTGGGGGAAGGCCGGAGAGAGAGGGAGACACAGAATCTGAAGCAAGCTCCAGGCTCTGAGCCGTCAGCACAGAGCCCGACACGGGGCTTGAACTCACAAACCGCGAGATCATGACCTGAGCCGAAGTCAGACGCTCAACCGACTGAGCCACTCAGGCGCCCCAGTATGATCTTTTTAGAATAAATAAGGCAAATTATTGTCATTCACATCATTAAAACATCTCATTGTCTTTCCGTGTGCTCATCAGAGCCTACTGGGTCTTACTTAGTGCGGTTCTGGTGCTTCTCTTAAAAAAGCCACTTAACACAGGCTGCGGTTTGCTTTGTTATTCTCCCTTCAACGGAATATTGTAAACTCCATGACAGCAAGGAGTGTATTTGGACCACCATATCCCCAGAACCTAGAAGGGCACCTAAAACAGTCATTCAAAAACTAGTTATTGAATGGCTAGTATACAGAAGGCACTATTCTAGGTACTGAGGAAATAATGATGAATATCAGAAATTGCTTCCATCCGGATGGGATTTACATTGTATTGGAGGAGACTGAAAGTAAACCAGATAAACGAATTAATACAGTGTCAGGTGGTAGTGATCATGCACGACCTTGTATACCCTGGTAAGTTCCCATGGGAGGACATTCTGGGCCTGTCCTTCACAGTAGATAAGGTTGGTGATAGATGTACCACAGCATGGTTGCACTGAGCTCCCTGTCAGGGAGATTGCTGGTCTCTGGGTGTTATCTGGATAAGAGTGTCAGCCCCAGTGTACATCCAGGCTTTTCTTTCTTTCATTTTTCTTTCTTTTTTTTTTTTTTTCTTTTAATACACTTTTTTTTTTTTTTTTTTAAAGTAAACTCTACCCCCAACATGGGGCTCAAACTCAGGACCCCAAGGTCAAGAATTGTGTGCATTACCAACTGAGCCAGCCAGGCAACCTTATATCCAAGTTTTTCTTTTCTTTTTTTCTTTTTTTTTTCCTTTCTTTCTTTAAGTAACCTCTACACCCAACGTGGGGCTTGAACTCACATGAGCCTGAGATTGAGAGTTGCATGCTCTACTGACTGAGCCAGGCAGGCGCCCCCATCCTGATTGTCCTTTGTCATCTGCCCGTCACAAGCTTGTTGCTTACTACTCCTCCTCTTCTGAGTACACTTCATTAGAAGTGGCCAGCCATTCTTCATAGTTCATTTACTTCTAAGGCCTGTCCATTAAAAGTGTGGGTACACTTAATAGGCTCAACTGTCCTAGTTAGCTCAAGAAAGCACTTAATCTGAGAAATGTTCTTGTAACCCACTTCTGCTCCCAGCCATATACTTACCCTTCTTGCAGTAACTCAAACCCATGCATCCTAAATGACTCTGTTTAACTTTTACTAATGCAAAGGACAGTCATGACAGCATTCTTCAGAAAGTCTCTTAGTGACTAAATAGAAGACATGTCTAGTTCCTCACAAATACTTTTTATGTCTTTCATGGTTGTAGGAACCCATGAGAGCATGTCTGAGTCCATTGAATGCGCTGTGTGGAGTTTTCAGTGTTAGTCAAAGAGCATTCCATAGAAAAAGGGATTTTTTTTTTCTTTTGTAGTCTCAGACCACTTTCAGTTCTGATGTTCTCATTGCATTAACATGCTTTTTCACAAGATTGTTTCTTTATTCATGAGCGTTAATAGTTTTCGTTTTTTATTCAGATGACATGAAGATGGAGACTGATATTAAGAGAAACAAAAAGAGTCTTCTAGACCAGCATGGACAATACCCCATATGGATGAACCAGAGACAAAGGAAAAGGCTGAAGGCAAAGCGAGAAAAAGGGAAGGGGAAAAGCAAAGCAAAAGCAGTAAAGGCAGCAAAGGGTTTGGCCTGGTAGACTCTTTAAAAATTTGAAAAATCCTACATGGGACAGGTCTTCGATTAGAATGTATACGTGGATTTCAGCTTTCACCAAATGAAAACTGTGTTTCCAGATTTAACTTGGCCTTTCTCTTCAAACCCAGCTTAACTCCTCAAATTTGTTTTGGGAGCTTGATAAAATATTTTCTTTGATAAATGAAAGCGACACTGGTATTTTAATTGGATGCTGTCCAATGTGCAGGGGTTCTCAGACTTCAAAATTCTATTAAGTGTTACTGTGGTTGTAATTGTTTGGTCTCCATAAAGATAAAAGAAGATATTATACTGACACATTTCAGCTAATTCAGGTTTAAAGAAAACTTACACAACTAAAAATATGTCAGTGGATCTTATAAGCACTACTTGTTTAGAGTTTTGATTTTGTTTAATTCAGAATAAAAGATATTTTGTCTAGATCTTGAAGTGCTTTTCTTTCATGTGTCCTTAAGGTTTTCTAGTAGGAGAGAAGACCATCTGCAATTAAATTGTTAAAAAGTCTTAAGTTTTTAGGTAGAATATTAACATCTACAAATTAATAGCCTCCATCTTTTTACGAGAGAGAACAACCTGGGAACTAGTTAATGTCAGTTTTTATATTATGTAGCCTAATATAACACAACATTCCTCACACTATGTTTCTTAGAATCAGTTTTTCTGGGGGTGCCTGGGTGGCTCAGCCAGTTAAGTGTCCGACTTCGGCTCAGGTCATGATCTCACGGTTTGTGAGTTTGAGCCCTGCGTTGGACTCTGTGCTGACAGCTCAGAGCCTGGAGCCTGTTTCAGAGGCTGTGTCTCCCCTCTCTCTCTGCCCCTCCCCCACTCATACTCCGTTTCTCCCTCTCAAAAATAAATAAACATTAAAACATTTTTTAAAAAAACCAGTTTTTCTACATGTGTGGTGAAAAATATATTTCATAGTCACATCAGTTTGGGAACTACCACATACCTGGACGTTCACAGTGTTTAGCTTAGTATGGTCTTGCAGAGATCTAACAAAGAAACCTATTTAACTTTGACTCTTTCAAACTATTGTTCTGAAGGCTCTACTGTTGGAAATCCTGGTAAATGAAATCATTTTTGTGAAGTCTGTTTTGCTACAGTTTACTAATTTTACTCTTTTAAGTTTACTTTTAGTTAAGCAGTTTATTTATTTTTTTTTAATGTTTATTTTTGAGAGAGACAGAATACAAGCAGGGGAGGGGCAGAGGGAGAGGAAGACAGAATCCGAAGCAGGCTCCAGGCTCTGAGCTGTCAGCACAGAGCCCAATGGAAGGCTTGAACCCACGGAACTGTGAGATCGTGACCTGAGCCGAAGTTGGACACTCAGCCGACTGAGCCACCCAGGTGCCCCTATATTGAGTAAAAAAAAAAAACTGCATTATATTGATGGTTGCTCTGACAATTGATGCCATTTTTTAATTACTGTTTTTAATGTTTATATATATATATTTTTTTACTGTTTTTAATGTTTATATATATTTTTTGAGAGAGAGACAGAGTGCAAGCAGGGGAGGGGCAGAGGGAGAGGAAGACAACAGAATCCAAAGCAGGCTGTAGGCTCTGAGCTGTCACCACAGAGCTCAATTCGGGGCTCAAACCCATGAATCGTGAGATATGACCTGAGCCGAAGTCAGATGCTTAACTGACTGAGCCACCCGGGTGCCCCTAGTTAAGCAATTTAAACTTTGTATTCCCTCTGGAATTTTACAGTAGTCCTCTTGACCATCCTTACATGTTCACTGGAACAACAAATATTTATTGAGTGCCTACTATGTGCTGGGAACTTTTCCAGGTGCTGGGGACACGGGGAGGGAGACTTAGGAAGTTTTGACCTTATGAGCCTCTACTCCAAAGAGGCTGTTAGCTTCTGAGGAAAACCAAGTTAAAAGTGAAATCTATTATGTTGGGATGAGCACTGGGTGTTGCAAGTAAGCAATGAACTGCGGGAATCTACCCCCAAAACCAAGAGCACACTTTATTTTCCAACTATTTTCTATTAGCTTCTTTTGAGAAAATGTATTTTAAGTATTTAAATATTATCCATTAACCTTTCAGTTAATTATCCATTAATCACTGAGTAAATTGAGAAAAGTCTAGTATATAAAACCACCTTAAGATTTTCCTGTCATTAAATTTTAAAGATTCAAATCTCCTCCTCCTTTTTGCCTTTTGGTATAGTTAGGAACAACAAATAGTTTATGAGGAAAAAGTAAATACATAAATGTTTATCCTTGAAATAAAAAGTTGCTAATGTTTACCAATTAAGCCGCTGACAATATCAGCCTAAATACACTAGCTATTTACCTTTTTTTTTTTTTTTTTTGTAAGTAATCTCTATACCCAACTTGGGGCTTGAGTTTACAGCACCAAGATCAAGAGTCGTGTACTCCAGTGACTGAGCCAGCCTGGTGCCCCAAGTTGTTTACCTTTCATTCCATCATAGCAATTGACTGCATCACTGATGTTGCACACTTAGTGCTTATATAAAATTTAACACCATGGTCAAGTATTTTAGAGCTGGGTTTTCTTTAAATTGAGGTCAGAGGCCAATATCAGGGATATGTTCATGTTTTCTGCGGCTGATGACTTCTAATTTGACTTCAGTGGTAGGAGCTTAGAGCTCTCATCCAGGGCCTCTCGATGTCAGGATGTTCACTTCAGTTTGTCCGGTCAATGAAATTTGTCTCTTCAGAATTTAGCTTAAAAGTTAATGATAAGAAACCAAAACACCACCGGTGAAAGGTGGCTGTTAGAAAGGGTTTGGCACTCAGGTATGACTGGGGCTTCTAAGGCATCCTGAGCTGCACCTCCAGCAAGATTGTTCCCACCTCTAAAGTGTGGCGGCAAATTTAGACCGAGTTTCCAAAAAGAGTGCAGGAGTACAGTCACTTCTTGCTTTATTCGTAAAGGGCATCAACTAAGTATAGCACGGTCCCTTAATCCTTTAGATGATTAGCTAATCTTTTTTAGAATCTGTCATTTATTTAACTCGTGTTTTCCAGAGAATTGCTGTAAAACCACCAGATGGAGCTCAAGGTAAACATCAAGTCATTTTGGGAATTAGCGTGGGCTAAGTCACAGTAGGAACTGAATGTAACATTTTATTTTTGTTGTTTTTTTTAAATGTTTTAATTATTTTTGAGAGAGAGAGAGACAGAGAGACAGAGTGCAAGCAGCGAAGAGGCAGAACAAGAGGGAGGCACAGAATCCAAAGCAGGCTCCCGGCTCTGAGCTGTCGGCACAGCCCGACGTGGGGCTCAAACTCACGAACCATGAGATCATGACCTGAGCTGAAGTCAGACGCCCAACCAACTGAGCCACCCAGGTGCCTCTTTTATTTTTGTTTTCTAAGAAATTAAAATAAGGAGAATCAAAGTTGTTTTCATCTATTTGTTATTTGTCAGATAGACCTTGGGCGAAATGATTTAATCCTAAACTCTCCAGTCAAAGTATTAACTCAGTTAATCCTCCTAGCAATAACTATGTTGGGTTCAGTCCATTTTGGAGGCTCAGGGTTTATAGACCCCTTCTCAAATCTCAGCCTAACCCAGACTGGAATTCTCTAGGTAGTGCTTCTGTGGAATGGGCTGACCCAGTTCTAAAGGTGTGGCCCACAGTCTGTGGTACCAAGGCTCTCAGGGCAGTCAAGTGAACTGTAGCTGAAGCTCAAAGGCAGGCTCAAGTAGTGGTTTTCAGCACATCTTTTTTTTGTTTTTGTTTTTTCTAGTGTCACATTCATTGTAGGTACAGTTTTTTCCTCCACTGGTCCACATACTGCCGAGAATAAATATGCAGCAGAATATATTTGCTTTATGAGGGAATTTGGGTGTTTTCAAAATTTAGATTTACGTATCTGGGATATGAGTTTTGAGAGGTGGAGAATGAAAAATAACTGGCTATAAGTGCCTTGGTTTAAATATCTGAAATGGATTATTTGTGACCTTGAGGGTTAGGGGTGTGTAGTTCAGATCAGTGAACACTAGCCACAAAGTAAATGGGAGGAATCCAAAGACATTAAGGAATTCCCAAATTTATAAATACTGCAATTGAGAAGCAGATGTTGGGCTGTTGACTAAGCTTACTAGCTAAGTGACTAACTTCTGATGCCACCTGGCAGAGCAGTTGAAATTCATGCTAGCCACAAGGTGGAATTCTTTTTCCCCGCAAATGCCATGGTAGCAGACATGTACGAATATTACATGGAAATGTTGGGTGTGGAGGGAGGTGGATGGAGAGCTGTTAAGCACTCATGTCAGGTCAAAGGCCCCTCTGCTGCTCCCAGGGCCCTCAGGCAGCAGGGGAGCCAGGGCGAGATTTGTGCCTACCTACCCAAAACCTTAAATTTGATAGCGTTGAATGCCAGAGGTCTTCACCTATTTTTAGAGCAGGAGAAAAATGTGATATCACATACGACTCTTTTGGCAGAATGATAGTTATGATAACAACCCACGTTTAGGGAATGCCGAGTTAAGTGCTTTACCTATATTATTTAATCCTTAAAACGATGCTGTGGGATCACTACTCTTACCCCAGTTTTCAGATGAGGGAACAGCTTGGAAGAGGCCAGTGTATTTGCTCACAGTTAGGCACCTAATCAGTTGCGAGCAAGGCTGCCCCAGGCTGTAGAATGAATGCCTCTGATGGGACGCTTCAGAGAGACGGACTTTGAGTCAATCCAAGGAAGAACCTTCTGACCAAAGTGTTGGAAGTTGGAACAGGCAGCCTTGGGAGTACTATTCTGACACGCTAGGGGTAGACAGGCACTTGGTTGGAACACAGCAGAATGGATTCAAACACTGTACTTAGAAATTGGGTTGAAAGCTGCTATCATCATTTTAGCTAAGAAATGCCTTGTGGGAAGTTGCCCCGTCTGAAATGTGGTATGCTTATCTCACCCTTGATAGTCTTTTGGTGCTGCACAATTACAGACTTAAGTATCCTTTTTGGTGGAACTAACAAAATCCAAAATCTTAAATTTGTTAATGTACGTTAAGTCTGGTATTTATTCCTGTAAGTTCCACTTTAAAGTATGGAAGAAGGTTACAAACATCTGCTTTAAACAATGAATGGGGTACAGTTCTTTGCATTTTAATTTAAAGAATGGCACAGTTTTCTAATACATTAAGTTTATAATATGCAGAGTGGATTTAATTTCCTAAAGCAATGACTTGTCTTGGCATTATGCTATCTTATGAAACACTCTCTCACTCTCACATTGTGTCTTTATAGTTTTCAATATCAGCAAAACCTTTACATAGTCTAACTTGGGTGTTGTGTATCATTGTACAGTAACTGCTAGTACATATGGTATTTCTGATCCGTGTAATAAAGTACATTTGTCATGTATCTGTGATCTGCATACCTTTCAGCTGTTACTTCATAAATC